CTAATTTAATTCCTTGATAAATTTTTTATATAGCACAGTTGAACCATTTCTACATTTTTTTGGTGACAGGCTGGTACAAGGATTGGACCCTGAACCTTGATGTTATCAGCAGCACAATCTAACCAATTGAGCTAACCGGCTAATTTAATTCCTTGATAAATTTTTTATATAGCACAGTTGAACCATTTCTACATTTTTTTTGTGACAGGCTGGTACAAGGATTGGACCCTGAACCTTGATGTTATCAGCAGCACAATCTAACCAACTGAGCTAACCAGCTAGCCCCTTGTTTCCATTTTTTAATTTTTATTTTACTAAAATTATTTTCATCAGGATCTGTTTTTATCCCTATGTAAATATTCAGTCTTTTTTTTTTGTCCTTGTAAAATTTTACCACCAAGCTTCTGCCATTGTAAATTTCATTATTCTGCCCAGTCCATCTTCCCCAAATTAAAATCTGCAGACTTTTTTGTCAAAATTTAATTTTACCTTATGTAGTCTTTGCCAGTACTAGTTTTTTGGGGGGATTTTTTGGGAGCTGGCCAGTATGGGGATCCAAACCCTTGACCTTGGTGTTATAACACTGCACTCCAACCAGCTGAGCCAGCCTGTCTATTTCAGAGTCACATTTTGCAATCTGCAAGTAACTACCCAAATGGGATTCTCTCTTTCTCTTTTGTTCTCGCCTTTTTCTTTTCCTCCCTCTCTCCTTTATTTTCTTCTCTGTTACAAATTAAATAGTCCCAGGTACAGTTTTAGCCATGAACAATTTTGGTCTGTGATAAGTTTCAGTAATAATATCTACTTTGAATGTGATTCCATACTGTTTTTATTTCTTGGAACAAAGTGCATCTGTGGGGAAAAGATCTAGGAGGTAGGAGCAGACAAATTTGGTAGGTGCTGACCTCCCAAAACAGACCGTTTTTGTAGCTACGAAATCTCTAGAGTCACCCTCCAACTGTGTGATATTTTTGGTTTGGTGAGAGAATAGTTACTCTTAAGTTACGGTAATATAAAGGGAAGCATCTCAACAATCTTCTGGATGACTTCATAAAGTCTCTCACGTGCTAATAGTGCAGGTGCTATGGTTATGCAGGTGACAGACCCTTGGCTGGCCCTGATCCTGGCCTCCACCACTGCACATCTTTTCCAGGTATATCTGCTTGTCCCAAGCTGCGGGAACCTAGGGTTCAAGACAGGGTCTCCCCATTTGCTTTCCTGTCCTCTGTTAGAATTAGGCCATCACCAAGGTCAAGGCCAGCTGCTCCCTCAAAGTTTTACTGGCCAGCTGCAATCAATCAATCAATCAATCAATCAATAAAAATAAAGAAGCGGGCAAGCCCTTAGGGGATTCCCTGTCCTAGTTAGTTTTTTGGTTCTTGTTCTTGTTGCTTTGTTTTTTTCCCTGAAAGCAGAGACAGCACAAAGACAGTGGGCTCCCAGCCTTTTGATAAAAGACTAAGAGCAGACGAGACCGCCCCGGGGGGATTATTTATACAAGAGGATGTAGGCGGAGGTTTGTTTTTGATACATCAGGGCCTGAGGCAGGTCTTAAAATAAGAAAATTTCCACTTTGACATTAGTCTCAGGCCCAGGAGCTCAATGTGCTCATAAATGAAGGAATGAAGGAGGGAAAAAGGAAAGAAGGAAATGAAGATGGAAGAAAGAGGTGGGAGGAAGGAAGGGGGAAGGAAAAGGGAAGAAAAGACCCTTCTGGATAAGCTGTGGTCCCTCATCCCTTCCAGGGGACTTGTCCCCACAGGCGGCCACGTGTTCCTCCTCCTGCCTTCCTGGCCACCAAGAGCTGTCCGGCTGATGTAGTTTTTTCTGAGCACCTACTATGTGCCAGGCACTGAGCTTCCTGTTTTGTCTAATCCTTACCGCAGTCCTGCAGGGTGGCTCTCGCTTCCCACATGGGGAAACTGAGGCTCAGAGGGGTGAGGAAACCCAGCCAATGTCACAGGGTGGCCTGAAGGACCGGAGGTCACGCGGGTTGGTCTCTATCGCTCTGTCTTTCAATCTCTGTCTCTCTCATTTCTCTTTTTCTTTTTACTTTCTCTCTCTCCTCCCTCTGTCTGTTTCTCTTCCCCCCTCCGTCCACCTGTCTGTTTCTGTCTGTCTGTCTGTCTCTGTCCCTCTCTCCCCTCTCTCTCTGACTCTCTGTGTCTTTGTTTCTGTCTGTCTGTCACACACACACACTCACCGACTCCGGGTTCTTGACGAAGACCTTGGTGCTCCCCATCTGGTACTGGTCGGGCTCCATGTTGACCGCCCGAAGCAGGTGCTGGACCCCCTGACGTTCGTCCCCACGCCACCGTGGCCACGTCTCGGGGGTCAGAATGGCATACCTGGAGGCAGAGGGCCAGGGTGTGGGAGGGTTTGGCGCAGACAGGGCCGGCTGGTCATTCTGATGGGGGCGGTTAGGGCGCCTCACCTCTGCAAGAACTTGGGGAACTGGCGGCGGTAGGCGAAGCCTGCCCTGCGTACCCTGATGTTCTCCTTCAGGCCCAGGTATTCCACCTGGTGCTTGACCCTGTTGGGGAAAGCAGCCTGAGTCCCCTGCAGGGACGGGGTGCTGCTGGGAGGGGGTTGGAAAGGGCAGACCTGGGGCCTGGAGGATCTGGATTCATGCTGGGGCAAGTCAGTTTGGGGGTGATTTCTGAGGTCTTGGGGGGGCTTCAGGGGTCAGCTTGGGAATCAGTTCTGTGGGGTTGGGCCTTGGGGGAGGAGTCTATGTTTGTCCTGGTAGTCAGTTCTGGGGTCAGTTCTGGGGATAGGGTGTGAGGAATTGGGGGGACTGTGCTAATCCCTGGGTCATCCTGTGGGTCAGTGTGGGGTCATGCTGGGGGTTCGGGGATCTTGGTCAGTTCTAGGTGTAACTGTTGGACGCTGAGGGGTTTTGTGGTGGTTCCAGGAGTCAGCCTGGGTTAGTGCTGGGCTGGGTCCAGGAGCAGGGGGTCAGTCTGGGGTCACCTGCTCTCCTCCCAGTCTCGGGGCTTCTTGGTCTCATTGGGTTTGATGCAGCGGATGTAGTGGGGTGTGCATCTCTTCAGCGTGGCCACCAGGTCATTGGCTTGTTTCTGAGGTGGAGGAGAAGGTGGGGTTGAGGGGCGGGACATAGATGAGACCCTCTGGCTCCTCCCTTCTCCCCTCCCTGGATACAGAGACACACTGGGGGTGGGGGATGGGAGCTGGTTCCAGCTGAACCACAGGGCCAGGTGTCCTGGTCTGTGCACATGGACATTAGCACCCACCACGTGGGACTGATATTGTGTGTCTCCCCGACCCTTGTCCCCTAGACTAGGACCTCTCATGTCTGCCACGCTCATCGCTTAGCTTGGCACATAGTAAGTGCTCAGTAAATGTTCATTGACTGAGTAACAGAGCACTCAGGAGAACATGTTGCTCAGAACATTCCTGCCTGTTCTTCGCGGTGGATGGGTATTTTGGAAGTAGAGCATCACGTGTGTGCCTGAGAGGTCAGCCTTGGGAGCACTCAGGAGAACATGTTGCTCAGAACATTCCTGCCTGTTCTTCGCGGTGGATGGGTATTTCGGAAGTAGAGCATCACGTGTGTGCCTGAGAGGTCAGCCTTGGGCTGTGCATTTTAGTTGCTCAGGGGAAAAGCGGGGGACCAGAAAGGAAATTTCTCCAGGTGGG